CGCCCCGCTGGCCTCTGCGGCGCCCGCCGAAGGTGCTTCTGGGCCCCGCGCGGAGCCCCCAGGGCGCTGAGTGCGAGCTCGCGGGGCCTGGGGTCTGACCGGGATGTTTTTAACCTCAGCTGTGGAAGGGGGGTCAGTGCGGGGGCGGGCGAGTGAGTTCGCGTCTTCGCCTTCTCAGATCTCCCTTCCTCTCGTCTGTGGGAATAAAGAAATAGGAATATTTTAATCTTCAGATTATTTCCGTCGTAAGACGTGGAGGAGTTCTTTATATGTGCGAGTGGCGTAAAAGTGAAGTGCTGAAAACAATGCAGGACGGAGTGATTCGGCCGAGAGCGCACAGCTGAGGGAAGAGCGTGCGGCCGCCCGGACGTGGGTCTGACCAGCTTGAAGCTCGTGTTCTGCTGCATCGCTGAGCTTCAGGAGCTTTAAAACTGTTTCCGTTGAGTAGCCAATCTCTCTGTACAGTGTTACCAGGAAGACAAAAAGTAAACTTGAGAGAAGCAGAAAAAGTTGCAGCTAAGTAACTGCTGCACGCATTGTTTTGGTGTTAAGAGAATTAACCCGTGGTGGGTGTAGCCGGGCAGCGGTCTCTAGGAAGGAAAGGAGGGCGGCACTTCACCCTTACTGTATCCTGGCATGGTCCCGCACTCCCTGAGGGAGAAGAATTTGCCCTGAGGGAGCTTCAGGTCTTATGGGGAGGAGGGGGTCTCAGCAGGAAGCACAGAACCTAAGGGCAGTACAAGGCCAAGGCCTTAGTTTTGTCTTTAGAACTATGTGAGTTAAGTCACCTGGAGTCCACTGCTGTTTTACATCGGTGGTTCCTTTAACGTCAGATGTGTGAACCCTTCTAATTAGCCTCCCGTAGTAGCTAAGGAATCACAGAACTCAATACTGTGGATTCGAGGATGATCGTAGATACTTTTTTATTCATCACCAGTATCGTAAAAATAGAGGGTTGTATACGGGGGAAACTGCTTGCTTTAAAACTGGGCGAAGTTAGCCCGTGAGGTATCGTGACCCTTGCAGCAGCATTTGTTGCACCTCTGTACCTGTGCACCAGAGGCCTGCAGCCCAGGGCTGGGAAGCCGAGCCCTGTGGTGCAGGGCCTGCCCCAGCATGCCCAGCGGTTGACGCGGGGTGAAGCCAAGTGGGGATAATGCAGATTGTTACCAGTGTTCTTGTTCAAATTCAGCCTTAATTCTGTATGTGTTACAATTTATAGAACTGTAAATCAAAAGAAAAAAAGGTAATTTTTATCATGATAATTACACATTTAAAGAAAAAAATTAAATTCCAGCTGATTTTAGGTGACTGTGAGTTTTACGTGTATTCACAGTAGCCCCAGCTGCCTGCCCCAGAAGCTGGTGACTGAATGGAAGTAGTGTTCAGAGTCAGGGATAGCGGGATTCTCCTGTTGACTGGCTGCTGGCCCTCATCTGGAATCCTGTGTTCAGCTAGGGAGTCACGTCTATATGAGGGTTTCTGAACTAGACAAGTCCAGAATTGTGAGGCGTTTGGAAGGTGAGTTAAATCAGCAGGTGAAGGACCCAAAGGAAAGGAGACATTGTGGCTGACACAGATGTTTGAAAGGTGGTGGTCACCGGGCAGCAAGAGGAGCCAGTCAGTAGGAAAGAGAACCATTTTGTAAAGAATGCAGTACAGCTGGACGCCCAGATTGAAAGAAAGTGAGAAGCGAAGCTTCTAGTTCTAGAACAGGTCCTTGTGTCTATGTGCCCTGGGCATTGTAATGAAAATTCCTGAGTAGGGAGAGGCAAGTGAGGTGTCCTTCTACCTAAATTTTCCACAGTGAATGGAGCTGCTTTTAAGCTTAAATCCTTATTTGCTGCTTGAACTTTTTACAGTGGGTCCAAGATGATTCTGTTGTTGTTCCTAAAGTCAAATATATTAACTAATTTTTGGACTTTGAAGAGGTAGCATAAAACATGATTGTTGGGGGATCGATTCCAAGGACCTGACATGTGACCTTATTCAAATTCGTAAGAGCTTTAATAGGAGAAATTTACATACGAAGGCAAAGCAGCTGTTGCCAGTGGTGGCCGTACTGGAAGAGTCCACACCACCCCCAGGACAGGCTCTCTTTTGTCATAGGGGGTTAATAGTAAAACCATATGGTGGGTAGTCACGTAGCCCACTGGAAAGAACAGTGCATTCCTAAGTTAACAGATAACATCAGGCAGTTATCACACTCTATACGGTCTTTAACCTCTCCACTGGGGGCATGACGGTTCAGCCAGACCTGAGGCTGCAGAGAGTTAAACAGTCACAGAGGATCAGACAGAGAGTCCAGCGTCTCCCTGACACCTTCGCTGCTGGAGCCAAATTGCATCTCTGTGATTTCCCCTACAGTGAAGTTCTGCTATTGAATGTCAGTGAACCTCATAGCATGATGTAATTCTCCAGTGAAGACTGCCAGATGTAGTTCCAACAAGTGAATTTTATTTTCCCCGTTCAAGTTGTCATGGACACAGTGCAATAGTGCATTTTAAATGGTTGCACCGTATGAATATCTTTTGAATACCTTATTGTACATGCATGGTAGGTGCTGGGAGTAATCAGTGGATTTTTTGTTTGGTTAATTAAAAAAAAATACGACTTGGTTCCTGCACTTGAGCTACTTAAATCTAGAAGACAGACTTAACTTTATAGGTAACTAATACAGGGTAGTAAGATGTTGATCGACTGTGGATTGACTGTCAGCCTTACCAAATAAGGACAGTTAGGATAGGCTGTCTCTGGAGTTGTATGCTGCATTTTGAGGGTCCCACTCAAGAAGGTGACTATACTCGAGTTTTGTGGTTTAAATGTTACTGTGATCCTTTACTTGGTTTAGAATTAAGTAACCACACATTAGGAAAAAGGTTTAATTTAATATGCATTGATATTTTAATCTGTACAGTGTTTTTTTCTGTAAAAGTAAATTTATCCTTAAATATAATTTGGAATATAAAAAAGACAGTGAAAAGATTCCCTCATCAACTTACCTAGGCCAGAACACACTGTCATTTAAAATTTAATGTATTTCATTCTTCTTTTTAAATGGAGTTTTGTTCTTTTTGTTTTTTTTGAAGTTATAATGGATACACAGGGTGTGTTTTTCTGATTTTTCATTTGCTATTCTAACACATTATACAATGTTTTAAAAACTAGAGTTCTAAATGGTAGTGTAGTATTCTATCTAGTAGAAGCATCACAGTTAACTTTTTTCCTAATTTTTTTTGTTTTTTGGCCATTTTAAATGGACATTTAAATATGCAGGATTTTCTTGATGTTCAAGATTATTTTAATGGGATGATTTCTAAAACTAGAGTTATCAGGTGAGTGGCCAGGGATGTTTTTTAAGACTCCTTAGATATATTCCCAAATTGTTTTCCAGAAAGGACATATTAATTTTAAATTCCCTTCAGTAATGAGTGTTCTTTTTAGTTGTACCCATGTTAGGCAGAAAATAATACATAGTTATTTCACTTGGAAATTTTTAAAATTACAAACGAGGTTGAATGTTTTCCCCCTTTGTTTATCAGTGTTCATCCTGTATGCATTGTGTTCATGCCTTTTGCTTATTTATTTTATCGGTATATGTGTCTTTTGGGCTGCAAATAACACACGGTTGCCACAGCAAGTTTATGCAGACACAGACAGATCAGAGCTGGTGTGAGGACTCAAGGATACCACTAGGGACACCAGGTTCTCTGTGTTTTCTGCTCCACCGTCCTTGGCATGTGCTTTCTTACTTTCCGATTGCAACTTGGGTGATAGATCTTCAGGCCTCAGGTCCATGTTGCAGAGAGAAAGTGGTGAAGGACCCTGCCAGCCAAATCTGTCTCTCTGTCAGAACAGAGCTTTCTGAGAAGCCTCACTCAGGAGAACTTTGAACTTGAGTTGGTATTGTTTCAAACACTCCCACTGGCAAATCAGAGGTAGAAGGTGGTGATTGAGTCATTCAGCCGCAGTGTCTGCTACAGTATTTGGGTGTTTTTACTGTTTGTCCCACCTTTGAAAGGTATCAAATTTATCATCTTTGTATCAATACTTATTGTCTGGACCAATTTGTATTTTTTGTATGTCCTTAACTGTTCATATCATCATGTTTGCTATCATTCCCTTGGGGATATTTTACCACTTTTAGACTACAACAAAAAACCAAAAACAAATCTTAGTGAATTGCAGGCTGTTTCTCTGGTAAGCAAAATCTGAGGTGGAGATTTGTGGATAGTGCAGTGAGTGAATGTGGGCTGTATGATACTAGTTTTTTTTCAGAGTTGGTTGAGGTGGCCTGTAGTTCAGTATATACTCAGTGTCGGAAAAATGAGTGTCCCCATTAGATCAAGTTTAGTGTTGTTAGAATATTTATCACTGTCTTCTGTCTGTCTGACTGATGTTTTAACGTGGGTGTGTCCATTTCGTTGCGGATTGAATTTCTCCTCCGTCATTATTGAGTCAGAGATTTCTTTGAACCCCTCAGTTCTGTTTCCCTAACATTAGCATTCCACCTTTATTCTCATCATTTGTGCAGCACGTGACCCACTGAGAGTTCCCCACCAGTGAGTGTGCCTGTGCGTCTCTTTTTTTATTATTTCATTATTTTCTGGATTGTCAGTGGAATAAGTGAAGCCTAATTTAAAGCAGGAAAGGAGATGAAGTTTTAGACACCAACTTTGCACTTGTTCATGAGAATTGTTTGTTACATAAAAAAATTACCTGAGCCTTTGTAGTTAAAAACTGATTTTTAAATACATTTCTTCCCTTAGACTTACGTGAAAGTTAAGTTGCCGCTTAATGGGATGTCAAGAAATAATTTGGAGGCATCTCCTTGTAAAATGACAGAGCCGTTTAATTTTGAGAAAAATGCAAGCAAGCTCCCACCACATGGCTCTTTAAGAAGTCCTGGAGGACAGCCCAACCACCCAAATTTCAGGTTGAAAAGCCCCGAGAACAGAAATAAAAAAAACAATTTTTTGCTTTGTGAGCAAACCAAACAATATTTGGCTAGTCAGGAAGACAATTCAGTGTCTTCAAACCCTAATGGCATCAGTGGAGACGTGGTTGGATCCAAAGGAGACAGGAAGACATTGCCGACAGGTGAGTGAACACTACAGACCTAATACTACTTGTTCTGATGATTTCTTTGACTTTTCACAAGTATATACATACATATATGTATGCAGTGGCCCAGCAGTGGGCTGTTAACACGATAGCCAAATGGCTACCATACAGTATTTGCATTTAAATATTAATTTAGAAGGGAAAACCAGATATCAACTGGCCATCTTTGGCTAGATTAATCCCAAAAATGATTCCTGGGGAGACAATGAATACAGATGAGCTTTTTCCAGAGGACTATACATACTAGGAATGTAGAAGGAAAGGAAACACTATGACTTGTTGTGGGTGCTTTACAGATTGGCCATGTTTTACTTGCATGAAGTACTCTGCTGACTTTCTGCATGTAATAGCTCACAAAGATGTAGCTAAGGCATTAATTTGTTTCACTTTAAAAAAAAAATCATTCCTTTTTTCCTCAGTCTAAAAACCTGCTATTTAAGGAGGCTGGACCCTGGTGGAATTCAGCCTCTTTAACACCTGCGATGGGACCTTTTAACCTCTTGGTGATGTACGTTCTCGGAGTGTGGCCCTTTGGCCTCTGGGGTTCTCCAACAGATCAGACTATTTCTCTATTAATATTAAAACATCATCTGCCTTTTTAGTTGTGCTGACTTTACACTGATGTGTAAAAACCAAGGTGGGTAAACTGTTGGCACTTTATTAGCCCAACTTTAGGCAGAGGCGCCAACTGGGCTAGTGGTCATTGAGGTTTTCATTGCCATCCACTTGGAGCCAAGACAAAAACAAAAAAAAAAGACAAATGACATTTCTTAAGAATGTTCTTGATGAAGCAGGATGAATCATTAATAAATTTTAACCCTTGTCTATAGGTATTTTTTTTAGTATTTTGTGTAACAAAAAGGGAATTTATTCCCCTAATTTCTGCTGCATACTGAATATGAAATTTCAGAGAAGTAGGATATCGCTTATTTATAGTGTAGCTTTAAGACTACTATGGCATAGCTTTATTTGAATCTTACCTAGTTATGGTATTTTACACTTTCAGGAGTAAATATTTGGCTTTTATTAGGCTTTGTGTTTTGCCTCCCCAGGAAAGTCAGTGTCACCATTAAATATTGGAAATAATTCACCACCCAAACAAGCAAATAGTGTAAGTTTTGTTTTACTTCCTATTTGGTGTTTTTGTTTGGGTAAAAGATTCTAAACGTGTTGTTTTTGTATTGCATTAATAATTATTCAATATTCAGGTATTATTTGAGGTCAAACTTCCTTTTCTTTAACATAGAACTTTTTTAAAAATTCAACCTTTTCTTTTCAGGTAGTTGTAGATTGATGTACAATTGCAAGAAATAATGGAGATCCTGTGTAGCCTTTACCCAGTTTCTCCCTGAGGGACAGGCTGCAGAACTGTAGTACAATATCACAGTCAGGATACTGACATTGGTACTCAAGAGACAGAATATTTCCATCACTACCAGGAGCCCTTATGTGCCTTCGTATGGCCAGATCCACTTCCTCTGCTCCTATCCTTGCCTTAACCCTGGGTAGCTACTAATCTTACCATTTTTTTAAGACGTATCTGCTAGTGACAAATTCTCTTATTTTTATTTGAGAATGTCTTGATTTCCTCTTCATTTGTTGAAAGAATTTTTTTGGATAAGTTTCTTAGTTAATAGTTCTTTTCTTTCAGCACTTAAATGTCGTGCCACTTCCTTCTGCCTCTGTGAAAAATCTGTTCTCTTGTTAATTGTTTTTCCCTTCTTTGTAAGATGTCATTCCTCTTTCTCTGCTTTTAAGCTTTTTTTGTTGTCTTTAGCTTTAAGAAATTTGACTCAGGTGTGTAGTTCTTTCAGTTTAGTCTCTTTGAGGTTTGCTCAGTTTCTTGCATTTGTAGATTTATCTCTTTTACCAAATTTTGGTCATTATTTATTTGAGTACTTCTTTAGCCCTGCCTTCGATCTCCTTTCCGTCTGAGACTATTCAAAGGTATAATGTTAGATCTTTTGTTATAGTCCCTGAGGTCCCGACGCTCTGCTCATTTGCAGTTTCCCCCACTCTGTTTTCTCTCTCGTTCAGATTAGGCAAGTTCTGTAGTTTGATCTTCAGGTTCACTATTTCTTTCCTCTCTCCTCTCCATTCTGTTGTTGAGGTCGCTCATTGTGTTTCTAATTTTTGTTATTGTACTTTTTGTTTGGTTCTTTTTAAAAATACATACATGTCTTTATTGATTTCAGAGGAAGGGAGAGGGAGAGAGAAACATCAATGAGGGAGAAACATGGATCAGCTGCCTCCTGCACACCCTTACCAGGGATTGAGCCCACAACCCTGGCATGTGCTCTGACTGGGAATCAAACTGGTGGCCTCCTGGTGCATGGGACAACCCTCAGCCCACAGGGCCACACCAGCCGGGCCGCTTGATCCTTTCTTGTATCTAATGTTCCTTCCTGAGCCTCTCCTTTTGTTTCAGGCATATTCATGCCTGCTTGTTTTGAAGCATTAACGGCTGCTTTAAAATCTTTTCAGATAAATTTAACATTTGTCATCTTGATGTTGGCATTTTTTCATTTTTTTTATTCACTTGTAATTTTCCTGGTTTTTAGTATGACAGGTTTTTTCTATTAAAACTGAGACATTTTGGGTACTGTGTTATGAAACTGTATGTTCCTTAAATTTTCTGTTTTAGCCAACTTCTGACACTGCTTCATCAGGAGAAGGGGGGTGCTGCCAGGTGGGAGTAGATGTTCAGGCTCCCCACTCAGCCTCTGTTGACACCAAAGGGGTGCTCTTCCTTGCTGCTGGGTGAGGGTGGGGTGAGGTGGGGTAAGGTGGGCAGAGAGTGGGCAGGTCATAGGGCGTTTGGGAGGTGGGAGGATTTGGAGACATTCATTACTGTTGAATGGTAGTGAGAAAGTCCTGACTGTCCACTAAGTGTCCTCTAACACCATCCCGTTGGTGGTGAGTTGGGGGGTGGGGGTGGTGCTCCTTACTGCCAGATGGAAGTCCAGGCTCCCATGTGGTCTCCACAGGGAAACCCTACAGGGATGAAGTGCTGACTTCCTCCTTTGTTGGCCTTCTCTCATACCATCCTGGTTGGGGGATGGGTACCTCATTATAGCCTGGGCAACGTGGAAGTCTCGGCTCCCCACTCTACCTTTGCTGGTGGAAGTGGGGCCACAGTTTTTTCCATGGTGTTTGTCTAGAGTAGAGTAGTTATTGGTAAAAGTTTTTTGTCTTGCTAGACTGCCCCTTTCCTGGTCTTTTGGCTAGAGAGAGCAAGCATTTGGTTGGGGCTTTTATTGTCTGCACCCTTTGGTGTTTCTGGATTGCTGGTTTCTCCAGCACCTTTTCTGGGATATGTGAGGCAATAAGAGAAGTCAGGAAACCCACTTCCGTATCCTTCTGTGGGTGCCAGAGTTCCTAGCCTGTCTGCTTCCTTCTTTCAGACTAGGTTTATTTTTGTTTTACATGTAAGTCCAGGGTTTTCAGTTGTACTTAATGGGAAACATAGATTTTGATCTTCCCAGAAGAGGGAATTCCAAATCTAGTATATTTTAAATGTTATTACCAAGTTTTAATATTGCTATTCTCTTTTCTCAATAGAAGCCTAGCAATAATGTGTCTCCTGCAAAGTCAAAAAAAATACACAAGTTGGTTGAGAATTCCTTGTCCATAAATAATCCAGCACTCTTCAAATCCTTAGGACCTCCTCTTCGGTCAACTACTTGCCATCGCTGTGGCCTGTTTGGTAAGCATGTTGCTCTCAGTTGTGTTAGATTATTCCCTTACACATTTGAAAAATATTTTGATTACAGAAAATTTAAAATATACTAAGCATAAATGGAATAATATATATACATCATACACCCATCTCTCAACTTCAACAGCTGTCAGCATGCTATCATTTCTTCAGCCATACTTTCCCACTCTTACTGCTGCTTTACTTGATCATTTTTTATAGTTTTTTTTTTTTAGATAAAACTTTCATGCATTAAAATGCACAAACTCACACCCCATCAAGATATGGAATATTTCCTCCTTTTCAGGAAGTTTCCTGATGCCACTTCCCCATCACTGTGCTCCCTAGAGGCAACCACTGTTGTTGTTTTTATCATAAATTAATTTTGCCAGAATTTCATATACACGGAATAATACAGTATGGGCTTTTTCGTATGAAGCTTTTTTCATTTAGAATAATTTTTGAGGTTCATCCATGCTGTTGTTTGTACATTAATTATTTTTGTGTTTGTCTCTGACTAATAGTTTGTTGTACGATTATGCCACAATTTATTTGTTCTTTTGTTGGAACATTTTGCTGCGTCTGGGTTTTGACTGTTATGAATAAAGCTCTCTGCATGTTTTTGCACAAGTCTTTATGTGGACATATGTTTCATTTCTCTTGGGTACATACCTAGGAGGAGAATTGTTGAGTCAGAAGGGTAGGTGTATGTTTAACTTCCTAAGAAACAGCCAAACCGTCTTCGAAAGTAGTTGTCTGGTTTTACATTTCTATGGTAATGAGTCCTGATTCTTTCACATCTTTGTCTGCATTAGGGGTTTTCAGTCTTTTTCATTTTAGCCCTTCTTGTGAGTGTGTAGTGATATCTCATTGTGCTTTTAATTTGTATTTCTCTCATTATCACTGGTCTTGGGAAGTTTTTCATGTGCTTATTTGGATATTTAGCTCCTCTGTTTTTTTCTTTTTCTTTTAGAGTGGAGGCATTTGAGGCCAGCTTGGTTTTGTTGTTTCTTTGTTTTTAGATAACTTGTTTTTTTCTGCCTGGAAGCTAATGGGACTTTTAATCCTTACCTGAGGACATGCTTATTGATTTTAGAGAGTGGGGCGGGAGAGGGAAAGGGAGAGAGAAACATCAATCAGTTGCCTCTCGTATGTGTCCTAACTGGAGATTGAACCTGAAACCTTGGTGTATCAGAATGATGCTTAACCAGCTGAGCTACCCAGCCAGGGCTCTTTTGGTTCTTTATTTTGTTTTTTGTTAATCCTCACCTGAGGATATTTTTTCCATTGATTTTTAGAGAGAGTGGGAGGGAAGAAGGGGGAGAGGGAGAGAGAGGGAGAGAGAAACATGGATGTGCAAGCCACACATCCATTGGTTGCCTCCCGCATGCACCCTGACCAGGGCCAGGGATTGAACCTGGTACCCAGGTACATGCCATTGACCAGGAATCAAACCTGAGGGCCTTGAGTGTGCAGGCCAGTGGTCTAACCACTACGCCACACCTGCCAGGGCTGTTTTGTATTTTTTTTAATGGCACAAGATAAGCCACGTCCGAGTCTGCTTGCACAAGTCTGTTCACTGCCACATATTTTGTTTCCTTTGGTTCCGTTTATAGTGTGCCTGGCTCTACTTTAGCAAAGACCAGTTATGTTCCGGTCTGTCCTCCCCCTTTCTCTGCACTTTGAGAGAGTATCAAAAGTTTAATCTTAACACCTAGTTATAAACAGCATAAGCCTCTTCACATAATCTTGATGTGATTAATGGAATGGTATTTGATGTGCCTGGTCTTTGAAATTGTCTTGCTCTGGGCGACAGATACTTGGAATAAAATGTTACGGGCTGTATCCTGTAGGGTCGCAGAGGTGTTCCCAGTGCAAGCAGACATACTATTGCTCCATAGCATGCCAGAGAAGAGACTGGTCAGCACACAGCGTCGTGTGCAAGCCTGTGCAGCAAAAGTAAGTGTGTGTTTCTAGTCATTAGAGAATATTTAACATTTTTTTCCTGATACTGTAAGGATCACACCAGGTAAGCAGGCCACAACTATGTAGAAGTTATCACCTTGTACTTATTTACTGAGGTGTAACCTAAAGTGTGCAAATCCGAAGTGCACAGCAACTCTACACACTTAGGGGTTTTCATGAACATGATTTTATTAGGTTGGACACATTAAGATTTAAGACCTTAAGTGACTTTTTTTAATGGTTAGAGTTTAGAAAGCTTTTAATTATGTATACTTTACTGAATTTGAATGAGGTGGAACTCTTACAGAGCTTATTGGATTGTGATTTTGAAATACATAAATCTTACTGTGTGCTATTTACCAGTTAACAAAACAGTTTCATACCTGTTACCTCATTTGATCCTCAAAACTGTTTAGTTGATGTAGGAGTTACCTCCATCTTACAGATAAGGAAACTGAAGCTTGGAGATTGTGGCTACCTCCCTTCATTAGCAAGCTTTTGGAGGTAGCGTTTGTGCACGCAGGGTGGACCATTGCTTAGACAGTTGCTGCTACTGTGATTCTGTCTGGAGGAAGCTGTTTTGCTTTCTGGATTTTGTTGATTGAAAATTTTACATAATTGGGGGCCTTACTCCTAATTGGCTCTGTACTGTAAGAATTTTACAATCAGTTGCTTTATTTCAGTTTCCACAGACTTGAAGATAACAAGTCACCCTTTGAAACAAGAACCGTGGGCGTGACAAACGAGGTATGACACAGACTTGTGTCTGCATCTCACCATCGCTTGTTGTGGAGCAAGCTTCCTGCCGAATGAATCCGCACACCCCAGCGGTTGATTTGGTGACTGCTGGGAGTCACGGAGAATTGTTTATGCCCAGCCTTTTCCCAGAAAGGACTTGCAGTGGCTGTGTCTCAGTGTAAAACCACATGGGCTAGTGAGAGTCCCTTCTCTGCAGTCCTGCACCCACACCTTCTCTAGGCTTGTCCACCAGATTCTAATGGGGCTAATGAGCTTTTTTTCTGTTAATACCTATCTTCTGTTTAGATAACGGTATGGGCTAAGTCATTCATAATCTGAAGAAATTGGTGTGTCCAAATCATTTATAGATCATTTTTAGCCTTCTCTGGCTGATACTAAAAAAAAAAAAAAAAAAAAAAATTCACATTTCAGTGGGGTTCCTAGGAGTTTTATTCCGGGCAGGGGGGGTAAGAGGAGGTCTTGTCCCAAGGCAGGAGGGCTGTTTCCTCTTTCATTAGGGATGAGTCCCAGGGTGAGGGGCCAGACTCCTCCCAGGGGCTGACTCTTCCCAGGGGCTACTGTGCTGAAATGTAATAAATCATGAATTCCCAGACCCTGTCAAAAATATTTGTATATAGTCTGACTTCCTCAAGTAGTTATTCCTCCAAAAATGTTACCAAGTGCAAACTTAAAAACTAACACACACACCCCTTTTTAATAAATTCAACATTACCTTTACCAGTGTGGCATGATTCTTGGGTGGCCCCATGCTGTGCACACTGCCTGTAGAGAGTGCCTTCTAGGAACACTTGAAGGTGTACACTATTTCTCTATTCTCTTTTTCAAGCCTAAGAGTCAGGCTATTTTGATCTTGATTCCAGAAAATAATGGCCACAGTATCATTGAAACGTGTGCTTGTATGTAACTCGTGTATCTGTTTTTTTCAAACCAGAGTGACTATCCTTTCGGAGTTACTAAAGAAATAGCCATTTGTGCTGATAAAATAATGTTTTCTGATTTGAGAAGTCTACAACTCAGGAAAACCATGGAAATAAAGGTATTTGTTGTTTAAGCTTCACAGAGATCCAAAGAACTGTGGATTTTATTGTTTTCTATTTTGAATTCATAAGGTAGCTGCAAAATTTAATCTGATGAAATTGATAAAAATTGCAAAAACTGTCTGCGACGTTTACTGTGTCTTAGTTTTAAAGTTTTAAGAAATGCACATTTGTCTGTGTTCCTAGTGAATTATTACATTTTCTATCTTTGGAAGGGTGCAGTTACTGAATTCAAAGACCCAAGTGACTTTTATGTGCAGTTACATTCCTCAGAAGTGTTAGAGTGCATGAACCGACTCTCTGCGAGCTTAAAGGAAACATATGCAGATACGGAGCATGAGGACGGTTATATTCCTGTGAAGGGGGAGGTTTGTGTTGCCAAGTACACTGTTGACCAGGTAACCTCTGTTGAAGTGAATTATTTAATAAGATGTTTTAATTTACTCTGGCTGTATCAACTTGACACCAGAGCTTTTAATGATGCATTAGGTGGCTTAAAAGTGAGACTGGTCAGACTCCTGTTTTTCTTCCTCCGGCAGCATTCCAGGCTCTGTTCGTTACTCCCTCCCTGCGCTAGCCCTCCCCAGCTCTGTTTATGAGCTCCTCAGGTGCTGCTTACAGGCTGGTTGCTAGTTTTAGAGCTTGTGTTTATTTGTGTAGCTGAGGCATCAGGGTGTCATAGAATCTACTGGGCTAGAATAGCTTGGCAGTGTTTGTGCACAGTAAAGTGGCTTTATTAGACAATTTGGGGTACTTCTTAGCAAGATTATTAGAAAGTTATGTTAACTTGTTAATTGAGTGCCCTAGAATAGAACAATTAGCTTTTCCTTTGCATGTTCTATAGATTTATTGAGAATTTTTTAACCTAAGATTGTGAAATGCTAATAGACACTTCTCCAAAGAGGACACACAGATCGCCAGTAGACATACGAAAAAATGCTCAAAGTCACTAATCATCAGAGAGATGCAAATTAAAACGACAATGAGGTATCACCTCACACCTTCCGGAATGTCTACCATCAATAAATCAACAAACAACAAGTGCTGGTGAGGGTGTGGAGAAAAGGGACCTTAGTGTACTGTGCACTGCTGGTGGGAATGCAGACTGGTGCAGCCATTATGGAAAGCCTTGTGGAGTTTCCTCAAAAAATTAAAATGGAACTGCTGTTTGACCCAGCGATCCCACTCCTGGGAATACATCCTAAGAATCCCGAAACACCAATCAGAAAGAATATATGCCACTCCTATGTACATAGCAGCACTATTTACAATAGCCAAGATCTGGAAACAGCCCAAGGGCCCATCAGTAGATAAGTGGATAAAAAAGCTGTGGGACATTTACAACCATGGAATACTATGCAGCTGTAAAAAACAAAAGCTTTTATCCTTTGCAACAGCGTGGATGGACCTGGAGAATATTATGCCAAGTGAAATAAGCCAATTAGAGAAAAACAACTATTACATGATCTCACTTATATGTGGAATCTAATGAACAAAATAAACTGACAGACAAAATAGGTCCAGAGACAAGGATGCCTGGAACGGACTGACAGATCTCAGGGTGGAGGGGGCGTGGAGGGACTGGAGGAGATTAGCCAAAGAACATATATGATACAGGTGTAACCCATGGACACAGGCAGTAGTATTGGGAAGGCCTGGGTTGGTCAGGGGCTGGGTGGAGGACGGCATTGGGGGGAAAACGGGGGACATCTGTAATACTGTCAGCTCATTACAAAAGAAAAGATGGTGAAGGGCAGCTCTGGAGTAGAGGACCATTTTATTTCATTTCAGACCTGGAACAGAGCAATTATACAGGATGTCGATATGCTGCAGAAGAAGGCACAAGTCTTATATATTGATTATGGAAATGAGGAAATAATTCCAGTGAACAGAATTCAGCGACTAAACAGAAACATTGACTTGTTTCCTCCTTGTGTGAGTCTCTTCTTTCTAAATTCCCAGTAGTGTCCCCGAGGAACTGTTTTTAATGTTTTGATGGATGCACTGTTGGCTTGTTCTGTTCTGCCACAAGTGCCTATTGGCGCATCCTTTCTCCCTAGATAAACATCCATTGGTTTCCTCGGCTAAGTGCTACCTTGGGGGAAAAACTTAGCATTTTTAGGCACATCTTACCAATCTGCCCTTTTATATTTATTACACTATTTGAAAGTGACCTGAACTCACGTGTAATCGAGGGATGATTGTTATCCTCTCATCAGCTTCTCAAGCTTCAAGTCCCCACAGTCAAAGCATTATGGATAGAGTACCCAGAGAAAAACAATTACGCACAGAATTGTTCATCTGGTTGGTACTCGAAGATTTTTGATAATTTTTCTGCATGAAGCACATCTTTTAAAATCTACACATAATTAGAAAAAGTCATTTTCAAATACTGATTTTTCTTTTAGTAACTTGCACAAAATCTTTCAGGCCATAAAGTGCTTTGTGGCTGATGTTATCCCAGCAGAAGGGAACTGGAGCAATGATTGTATCCAAACTATTAAATCACTGCTGATGGAGCAGTACTGCTCTGTAAAGATTGTCAACATCTTAAAAGAGGAAGTGGTTACCTTTGCTGTGGATGTGATGCTGCCAAGTTCAGGTGAGACCTGATATCTTTCTTTTTAAATGGGGTGTTTAATGTATTATTTAGTCTCCACCTGTTACTCAGAGAAGAAATAGAAACATGAAAGGAGGCCAGGTAAGCTCTGCTCTGGCCATTCAGCCTGTGAGTGGAAACATGGCCTTGGCTCTGCTCTTGTAGTTGGCAGTCAGACATGGCACAAATTCATAGAACTGAGTGGACTAACAGGCTAGATGTAGACGTAGTATGGGGATAACTATATGATCTTTTTACTATTGCCACAATATTACCTGGTCCTGGTTTTTACTCCTTTATTGAGAAATTCAGAAGTTTCTCAATTCATTCATTTTTATCATTGTTGCTTTTCTTTGAACAACCTTTAAAGAAGTCTATTTTGTTGGTATTGAGACTGTAAGTACATGGGGTTCAAATTGTGGGAATGGGAACACTTTGGAACCCCGTTCTTTCGTTCTGGCTTTATACCTGCTTGAAAAGTGACTTAACAGTGTGCTTGTAATTGCCTCTCAGTTTCCACGGTATTACTTTTAGAGGCTTAGCATAGGTCGGTGACTTGGTAGAAAATGCAGTTAATCCTATTATGAGATTAAGTGTAAAATCTATGTTTTGTTTCATTGGTGTGTATGTGTCATATTATGACTTCAGAGTTTGGATATTATTTCAGAGAACTTGAGGTGTTGGGTTACGCTTGTATCAGCCATACTTTCTGTCTGAGAATAAGTAGTCTTGTGTCTTGAATTCATTATTTTCCCATAAATAGTGGTCTTTCTAAGCATGCTAGTAAGGTGGTACTAAATCTTTCATGTTAATCAGAATTTTGAAGTGAAATCTTTTCATTAAATTTTCTGCCAAGTAATGATGGAATTTTGCCTCCATTTTTGAAGCTGAGCATTACTAAAACATATTTTGTACATAGAAACTGAACTGGTAAGAAATATGCCAGTGTGTTAATAGCTATAATCTCTAAATCATGTAATTATGACTCATTTGTTTTGTATTTATGCTTTTCCTTAATATTTAGTATATATCTCAATGTAGATATGTTTTCTTAATTACTTTTAGGAAAACTCTTAGACCATGTGCTTGTAGAAATGGGATATGGCTTGATACCTAAGGGACAAAATTCTAAGAAGCAAAGTGCAGATCAGAGTGAGTATGCACATTACTAGTGAACAGTATAGTGACTTCAGTAATTGAAGAGGATTTTCTCTACTAAACATAAAAAGCACAACTGTCACAGTGTCAGCTGTATGGAAATGCTAGCCACTCTATAAACTTTATACACAAAAGATGATACTTTTTATTTCGTGACATGCTCTTGCTAATCTCAGTGTTCCCAGCCTAGTTGTCTTCCTTGTCTTTCAGATTAATCCTTGATGTGGTAATGATCAGAGATTGCAAAGCACTAAATATGATAACACTTTGGGTTGAGGGATTTTAGCTAACATTTCCTTAGTTTAATTTCTTTTTCCTTTTTTGGGTATTCCAGCAATAATAAACAGGGCTATAACATTCCATTCTAGTAGGATGGTGTTTCTTTTAAAATTCTTACTTTTTATTTACGTGTGTACTTTTCATTTATCTAACGTGAACCAAGAAGTTTTGCTATGAGCATTTTATTTTCTCATTGCTAGTCTTGTGTGTTGTTTCTTGTAGCCTACTTTCTCCTTTACTTTGCTCCTTTATCGTTTACAGTCATGTGCCACTTAACAACAGGGCTTTTTTCTAAGAAATGTGTCAGTAGGTACTTTGGTCATTATTCAAATAACGTACAATGCACTTACGCAAAGTAGGTGGTACAGCCTGCTACTGTAACTGTATGGGCTGTACTGGCAACTCAGTAGGTTTGTTTCCAGCAGCATCACCACAAACTCGTGAGTAATGCATTGCGCTGCATTGTTACAACATCACTAGGTGATAGGAATTTTTCAACTTCCTATTATCTTGTGGGACCATTGTCATATATGCAGTCTGAAATGTCGTTAAGAAGCGCACGACTACTTTAGATGAAGACATACTTCCTTGTTTCTGCTCATTCATCTAGAGGCGATTTCCAGATTAATGGTGCCATGATTGGATGCATCTTGTTACGTAAACAGACTTAATTCATGCTTAATTATACCTTCTTCACTGCCCATCTCTTGCTCTGATTGGTTATCAGTAAAGATCAAGTCTTTATTGATTCTTCTTCCCAAGTGTTCTTTGTATGTATACTTTTTTCTGCCTTTTCCTGTTGCCATTTTTTTTTTTTAAGTTCAGGAATTCTTAACATTCAAGACAATTTCAACAAGTTTTTTATTTGATCTTTCTGTCTCCTGTCTGTATTCTCATACTACTGCCTGTGTCATACCCCTGAAACAGAAGGCTTGGGGTGACAACTCTGCTGAAAAACTTTCAGTAGTTCTTTGCCATCTAGAGGGGTGAAATCCAAACACTCCCTGGTCTTATAGTAGTCATGGTTGAAACCAGAAGTGGTGGTGGTGTCCTAAGGATAGTGTGGAGTGAGGAACAGTAGTGAAGGGCCCACAACACGAGTGAGAAACTGTGATGGGAGAGGTGGGAAGAGAAGGGGGAAATGTTGCTAGAGTAACAGTGGGGTAAAGGCTTCTAGGAGGCAGTCATCAGTAATTGCACATGCTGTAGGGGCATCCCGTAGAAGGAACAGAAATCCTCTGAGCAATGTCTGCTTTCCTGCACTGCGGAGGTGTGTGGTACAGACACAGAAGATTGTGAATTGGTGTGAATGCGGAAGTGCGGGGTGCGTGGGAGCCCCTGGGAAAGGCACCTCATACAGATTTGGAGAGAGGCTTTTCAAAGTGATACCACACTGAGCAGGAATTTATCAGGTTGCTGGGGATTGGGAGGACTTTGGGGGGTGGCAGGGAGAACAGCATGGGTTAAGGCCTAGAAGTGTGAAAAGCATGGTTGGGCCTGAAAAACTGAAAAATTGGATTAATGAAACCAAAATGACTTACTTTTCTGTTTTCTGATAAGGTGAGCCTGAAGATGTTGTAAAAATGACAGCTGAAAACAAAATTGTTGTAGACAGAAGAGACTTAATCCCAAAAGTGTTAACTTTGAATGTAGGCGATGAGTTCTGTGGTGTGGTTTCCCACATTCAGACTCCAGAAGACTTCTTTTGCCAAAAACTACAAAGTGGACGTAAGTCAGTTTTCTCGAGTTGTGCTCAGGATAGCACTTCAAGAGATTCAACATGCAGAAATGAAGATGATGTGTAGAGTTGTATTTCTTTTATCTAAGGTGTGATCTATATTTGCAGATAAGCTTGCTGAACTTCAGGCATCCCTTAGCGAGTACTGTGGTCAGGTGTCTCCACGCTCAGATTTTTACCCAACCATTGGCGACATCTGCTGTGCTCAGTTCTCAGGTGAGGAAAGAGAGTGCTATTGAATTTTTTAGTTACAATTAAGCAGATACAGATGAGGTAGAATCTTCCATTTGTATGGGATGGCTCTATTTGAAACTTGAGTATTAAAGTAAACCAAGTATGTTTTTAAATATGTCCAATTAAACTAAATCAAAATGTGTAAGGGAGGAGAGCCCTCAAATGTGGGGGTGGGGTGGGTAAAGGAGGTTTTGATTGTTTTATCAGCCCTGCAGTTTTTGGAGACTGGTGCAGATAATTCTGTTTATATCAAAATATGAATGTGGAACCTCCTCCGGTCATGAATTCACCAGTTTTCTTTGGAAAAGCACAGGGCTGTGATGGCGCAGCTTCTGTAGCTGCCTGCATAGGTCTGGCCTTTAGTAACTGCGTTTTGTTACTCTAGGCTGAAGGGAGAGGTCCAGTGGTTTCACAGAGCGGGAGATACAGTTAGACCTCCAGGAAAGTGATTGCTCGGTTGGTCAAGTCTAGTTGACTCATATGGCCAGGAATACTAAAATTAGCCCTGCCTGATGCCTTAGCAAGTGGTCCCTGTATTGATCAAGGCCTGTGGAGTCACATGACCAAAACATGTTCTTTGTCTTCAAGAGCTAGCTGTCTACTGGAGACACAAGGCAGGGAAATAAATAATGACAGCATACAGCATGAGTAGTCTAGTAAGGTAAGAATAAAGGTGATACAGCCCAGCCTGTGTGGCTCAGCAGTTGAGCATTGACCTATGAATCAGGAGATCGTGGTTTGACTTCTGGTCAGGGCACGTGCCCGGGTTGCGGGCTCGATCCCCAGTCGGGGGCGTGCAGGAGGCAGCCAGTCAGTGACTCTCTCATCGTCGATGTTTCTCTCTTTCTCCCTCTAGTTTAGACATAACTTAGTGGGAAAGTAATCCTTAATAGAACATTTAGGAAACACTATCTGCAATCAGTAAAGATACTTAAAAAAAAAAAAAAANGGAAACACTATCTGCAATCAGTAAAGATACTTAAAAAAAAAAAAAAAAGTGATATAGTTGGAGTTAAAGGTTTCTGTTAAGCAAAGATAGCAATGTTGAATAAGTATTCATTGTTCAGTAAAGCTCTGTATTAAAATTTCAAATGACCATTTCTAAATTTGGGAAGAAACGTTTTTGTTTACATCTACATTGGAAAATCATTTGAGACTGGGTTTTGCTTTTTCAGAGGATGACCAGTGGTACCGTGCCTCCGTCTTGGCCTATGCTTCTGAAGAATCTGTACTGGTCGGATATGTAGATTATGGAAACTTTGAAATCCTTAGTTTGAAAAGACTGTGTCCGATAACTCCAAAGTTGTTGGAATTGCCAATGCAAGCAATAAAGTGTGTGCTGGCAGGTATGAAATGTTTATGGTCCCCATATTGTTAAACTATTAAAACCTCAAGTGGGGGCATTAGAATTGAAATTAAACTACTGATAAGATAAAGGAATATGTTTAGACATAACTTAGTGGGAAAGTAATCCTTAATAGAACATTTAGGAAACACTATCTGTAATGAAACAAAATTTAATGTATCTGTGGTTATGAAACTCAGTGTTCTTTTGCTATTTATGGAACCTGCATTATTAATATCATAGAAGAGTAATGACAAGAAGTAGAGGGAAACCCACTAGTAAAAGCAATAGGACGTTACAGGTATGTGCTTAGAAATTGCTATATGGATAGTCTGTCCCTCTCCTGGAGNTAGTAAAAGCAATAGGACATTACAGGTATGTGCTTAGAAATTGCTATATGGATAGTCTGTCCCTCTCCTGGAGGGCTTCTATTCATGTCAGTAATTGGCTTCTACAGCCTTCAACTACATTTTACAACCTGTTCAAGATCATTTACTTAAGATAGGTTGCAGGGTGTAGGTATATTGCAAAATACGTCCTTAGGAGGAGTGGAGGTGCCCATGGGTATGCTGCTTTCGTGCTGTGAGTGCTCTCCAGAAGGGGCTGGACTAGTGCACACGTCTCCCAGAGTGGGGGGGTAGGCAGTTTCTTCACACAGTGGTGCACCAGGTAGGCATTTCCTTGTTCTTTCATCTTGGCCGATTTTGGTAAGCTAAACATGAAATCACTTTAATTTGCTTCGTTACTAGTGAAGCCAAATATTTTTTTGTAGGTTACTTGGCTCTTACATTTTATGAACTGAGCATAATCTTGGAGTTGCCACAAATGTTTCATATACTGATGTAAGGGACTAGTGTTCCTTCCTGGATTGTTTTATACTTTTGTTTATGATTTCCTTAACTTTATTGAGACATAATCTACATATACTACAAAATTCGCTGTCTTAGGTGTACAATTCAGTGATTTTTAGTAAATTTACCAAGTTTTACAGTTATCACCAGAACCCAGGTTCAAAACACATCACCCAAATGAGCTCTCTTGTGCCCATTTATAGTTAATCCTCACTCTCCAGGCAACCAGTAATCTACTTTGTGTCTTTATAGACCTGCTTATTGACATTTCATATCAATGGAAGTACGTTTTGTTTTTGTTTTTACATAGAAGTATAGTAGGCTTTTTCCTTGTAATTTTGCCTTCATTTTCATGTTTAGAAAAATCCTGCTCAGATGGAACTTTTTGGTTCCAGCATTTGTCACAGATTACTTAAATTTACCTGTGTGGAAATGAGAAGCTGAATTTCTAAATGCTTGCTGTAAGAAATATTTTAACATCCTTAAAAAAATTCTTTGTTAGGAGTAAAGCCATCATTAGGAATTTGGACTCCAGAAGCTATTTGTCTGATGAAAAAAACTGTACAGAACACAATGATTACGGTGAAAGTGGTGGACAAGCTGGAGAACAGTTCCCTGGTGGAGCTTGTGGATAAATCCGTGACTCCTCACCTCAGCGTTACTGAAATTCTCATAGATGCGGGCTTTACTGTCCGGGAAAAAGGGATAGTGACAGAAAAACTCAGCAACATGAAAGAAGCCAGTGGTAAGAAAGATGTCAGTTGGACAGTGCCCAGGCTGGAGTTCAGATTGTTTGGTGAATGTATGGGTTCCGATACTTTCAAAAAGAATTCTGTTGAGTACCTCTTGTCTTTTTAAATTACGCATTCATCTAAATACATTTTAAAGTGTTGTTTGGGCCCAGCCGGTGTGGCTCAGTGTATTGAGTGTCATCCCATGCGCCAAGAGGTCACCGGTTTGATTCTGGTCAGGGCACATGCTCAGGTTGTAGGCTCGATCCCCAGTAGGGGGCATACAGGAAGCAGCCAGTCGATGTATCTCTCTCATCATGGATGTTTCTTTCCCCTCTCCTTTCCTCTCTACCTAAAAATCAACAAAAACATATTTTTTAAAAAGAAGAGTGGGAACTGAATATTTGTTGAAAGTTTTATGGGTCACTGGCAGCTGAAGGTCAGTCAGAAATGTGAATGAATTTGAATGTGAAATGCACTGAGGGTAGTAATGGTTGATTGTGATACTGGTCAACTTTCCTATAAATTCACTAAGAAACTCATTGAAAATTCAGTTCTTCCAAAGCAGATTTCTCAGACCACTTGTTTTTACAAAATGTTCACTTATTTTTACAGTTCCCTTGGGTGTAGAAGCAAAACTGAATCCATTGGCGGGGACATGGCTTGCACTTGCTGTTGACCAAACAGTAGATGTTGTGGTCTGTGTGATATATAGTCCTGGAGAATTTTATTGTCATGTGCTCAAAGAGGATGGTAAGTTGACTCGATCAGACATGTCATATTTCAAAGTTATCTATGAAATTTAGCACATAGAGCTCACCTCTTGAATTCCCTTAGCAGACATTGTGCCTTCCATTTAGCAAGTACTAGGTGCACTGCTTCGGGACAGCTATGTGTGACTTTCCTTTCTACACAGGCTTGTACATTGTTTCCTGATCCATAAGCAAAGCTCATGCTCTAGTCTACTGATGACAATGCCGTAATCATGTTACTATGCTCAGTAAGTCTTCAGCATGGGGTTTACTGAGAAAATTAACTAAATAATGACTTATTTGCCCAATTTTTAAAGAAGGGAAAAGCATTTGGTGTACTTAATAGTTGTTTGAGGATGTGCCTGAAATTGTATGATTAAAACATTTTCCAGCTTTAAAGAAAAATCAATATTCTACGTGTTTTTTAAAAATATTAAATGCTCTATGTGTATTGTATTTTCAGCTTTAAAGAAACTCAATGATTTGAACAAATCACTAGCAGAACTTTGTCAGCAGAAGCTCTCTAATAACTTTAAGGCAGAAATAGGGCAACCTTGTTGTGCGTTTTTTGCAGGTAAGTTGCAGTTGGTCCAATCTTGACTTTACCAGAACCTTTTGTTTCTTGACATTCAACTCTTATTTTTTTTAATTTAAATTTTTGTTGAATTTATTGAGGTGACATTGGCTAATAAAATTATATAGGTTTTGTCAAACCTTTTTTTTTTTTAATATGTCTTTATTGATTTCAGAGAGAGGAAGGGAGAGGTGTGGAGAGAGAAACATCAATGATGAGTCATTGATCAGCTGCCTCCTGCATGCCCCCTACTGGGGATCAAGCCAAAACCCCGGGCCTGTGCCCTGAACAGGAGTCGAACCTTGATCTCCTGGATCATATGTTGATGCTCAACCACTGAGCCATGCTGGCTGGGCTCAAACCTTATTTTTAATGTATATTTTCTTCCTAATGTTTAAGGAAATATTTTTCACACTTGACATTAAATAAATATTTAAGACTTTTTTCCTTCTCTCTTTGTAACCAGGAACCTTCAAATGATACTTTCATACCTAAGCTGTGTTAAATGCTTTTTCCCCCAGAATTTCTGATAATACTGAAATAAGTTAAATAATGGAAAATGAGTCCACTGTAGATTTATTGTTTCTTCTGGTCACCCTGTGCATATTTATTTTGAAGATAAAATTAATGAGACACCTTATTTCATTGCAAGAGTTTCTAGTATTTATTTTTTATGTTATTTTACCAAGTAACAAGTAAAACAATCTGTGAGAAGCAGTGAGAGTATTATAGGTCTTCCAGATTGACAAACATATTCAAGTTTATCGTCTTACCTTCATATTATTTGTTTTAGGATAGGTGATGAACGAAATCTTTAATTTATGTCAGATGTAAAAGTGTGGTACTGTAAAACTTTTAGAGATATTCTAAAAATTAATTTTGAGCATTCTAGGGATTTCTGAATAAAAAACTAAAGGCATCGTCTGTGGAAGAGAGAGATTTATTAGCTACTAGACAAATGATGTCTTTTTCAAGATACAATTTCCAGTGTTACTAGAAGGGAAATATTTCATGTGATAAACTTTGTGTTAAATCTAGGTGATGGCAATTGGTATCGTGCTTTAGTCAAGGAAATTGTACCAAATGGAAACGTTAAAGTACATTTTGTGGATTATGGAAACATGGAAGAAGTTACTGCAGATGAACTCCAGATGATCCCATCTGAATTTTTAACACTTCCATTTCAGGGGATACAGTGTTGGTTAGTAGGTACGATGCAGAATAAGAAGTTGTCTCTACTATCTTCTGATGCTTACAGAGGATAAACCTCTGTAGTATTAATATTTATAATTTTGATATTTTGTGTAAGTTATATGATCTTGCTTTATAATATAAAATTTCAAAATGTATTTTCAAAGATACTGTCTGTTGATGTTAGATCAGGGAAGCAGCTGCTTTTCTATACTATAATGGGAATGAAAACTGATATCTTCTCATGAAGGCATTTTGCTCCTAATAATTTATCCCAAAGAAATAATCTTTGAATTTCACAAAGTGCACCAACAAGGAAACTCATTACACTGTTGTTAATAATAGCAAATCAGCCTAAGTAGGAGAAGATTGGTTAAATGATGCTCCATCCAATAGATAATAGTAGTATCTGGTTCATGGGATTGTTGTGAGGATTAAATGAATGTTCAGAAGAGGGCCTGGCACTCAGAAAGGTCTATTCAGCTGTTTGTTGTTATTACATAGTCATTGCAACTTTAAAGATAATGTTAATGAGACACCTTAATTTCATTGCAAGACTTTTTAACTACATATTAACAGTGTTACATATGTGTCGTTGATATGAAGAATTGCTCATGATTTAAGTGAAGAAAGCAAGTTATAAGGAGATGCAGGATAGCATTATGATTAAGAGGACAGACTCTGGGACCAACTTTCCTCCCTACCAGCCATGAGACCGCAGAGTATTTAAACTCTGTGCTTTCATTTCCTCATCTGCAAATAATAGTACCTTCCTTAAAGAGCCATAAAGAATAAAAGAGATAAAAATGTAAAAGGCACTTCATAGTGCCTGGGCGTTATACCCATAGCAGCTATTATTATTATAAAAATGTGTTTATAAAAGAAATCATATATATGTGCATGTATATATTTCCATAACAATTGTGGAGGGTTCGATACCAAAATGTTAACAGTCATCAGTCTGAAAGCATAGATGCTTTTCATTTGTTCTTTTGCTAATCTGTTTTCTTTCTACTCATTTTTCACTAAGTATGTTTCAGAGTATTGTTTTTAAATTTTTTTTATGTTCATGCTTCTTAATATGTGACCCCCAAACCAACAGCAGCAACATGAGAACTTGCAGATTCTCATTCCCCACCCAAGACCTTCTACACTGGAAACTCTCGGGTGGGGCCCCGAAATCTGTTTTAACAGTTAAGCCCTCTAGGTAATTCAGACGCATACTCAAGTTTGAGAATCAATTATGAATAAGTTATCTAAGAAAAATTATTTTTGTCCAAGTAGTTTAAAATGGCATTTTAAAATCATTAGAAACTCTTCATGAAGTGAAATTGTATGGTTGATGCCTTTTTTTACCAGAATAATTGGTCACTCATCATTGTGTGTGTAACAGAACACAAAGGTAACTTCTTAAAGAAATAGTAATTCTATTTTTGCCTATTGAGAAAACGTCAGGTGAAGATACATTAGTGGGGAAAATAAGGAAAGATCCTGAGCAGTCAATTTGCAAATGCATTATTGGTAAATCAGGCATGAAGGGTGTAGATACAGAATTGTGTATTGGGAAAAGGTATTCAAATAGCTGACCTGAGTAGTATAGTTGGCAAAGACCCAGTCCTGGGTACTATTGAAGCAAACAGCTTGGGCACAGAATTCTTTATAATGCTGTTCTTATTTGCCAGATATACAGCCTAGAAACAAACATTGGAGTAAGGAGGCCATAGCAAGATTTCAGATGTGCGTGGCAGGGATAAAACTCCAAGCCCGAGTGGTTGAAATCACTGAAAATGGAGTGGGGCTTGAACTCACCGATCTTTCCACTTGTTATCCCAGAATAATTAGTGATGTTCTGATTGAGGAACATCTGGCTGTAAAAGCTAGCTCACCACAAAAAGACTTGGCAAGAAACAGACCTGTCAGTAAACATGATCTTCAGACAGACACCCCGGGGCGTCAAGGTAACATTTTTAAGTCATTTATTTGTTATTTAAATTTATGTTACCCTTTGTCTTTACAGGCTGTGAAAAATCTATTCGGACTGACACATTTTCCTGTAGAAATACACTTGGTGGAAGTAGATTAATAATAGGCTATTAAAGTTAACATTAATTTATTGAAACATGGTTTTATTAAACTCATTTTTAATGTAGCTATTTATCAGGTAACTTGCATCATATGCTACGTATACCTTCATGTGTGAATAAATTTTAAGAATTATGTTAAATATACTACAGAAGTAGAAATATATTACAGAAGCACAGTACTACCAAGGTGCAGTAGTTCAAGGATTCTCATTACAGTTTGGAACAACTCCCACAAAATCCCTCAAATTGAACAGATTGTTTTGTGAAAACGCAGATTTTCATTTTGGGAATTTGGGGATGTTGATAATGGACAGTTGAGTGAATAAAAATACTACTGGGAAAGATAGGAAGTTGGGTGTGGTTCACGGAGACCTGTGTTTGGTCCGTTTTCAGCTGTCTCTTCAGCTCAGCGGTGGAGGACCATAGAGCTGCCGGTGGATAACACTGTACAAGCAAGCATTTTAGAAATCATAAACCCAAACTTGTTTTATGCTCTACCAAGTGAGATGCCGGGTAAGAAAATAAAATTTGAGACCTATTTGTGCTGATCTCTGACAGGAAAATGAGAGTGCTTATCTGAACTCACGAGGAAGTGGGGAGAGGAGGAGGGTGATGATTTCTTCTCAAGGTTTTAAGGTAGAATTTACCTTAATAACAAACACTTCAGGCACGTTTACTGATAAAAACACCCATGTGAACATGAGTAGAATGCCCTGCATTCAGCACCTGTTCAACCTGATCTTGGTGATCTACAGCTTTTTATAACAAAAACATGTCCTTAATTACTGTATGACTTCCTGTTTAAAATTGTATTCTGTCTGTGTTGAATTGCATTTACCAAGTTAGCCTTCTACAGCCATTTAAGAGAATTTGAACCGAAACTTTTATATTGAAAGAGTACTTAGTAATCCGTCTATAGTGATAGTGTTACTGTATCTTTAGAAACTTAGAGAAATGTTTTACACCAGGCCTAATCATGAAGAAATGTAGCATGTAAGTATTTTTAATTTTCCCGTTTTGTTTCATTGAAGTTTACAATGAAGGCTTCCGTTTGGTGGTGGTTGAGTTCATGCTTGCAGTGTAGAAGGTCAGTTAGTGCGAGTTGGGTGGCAACCATTCAGAATAACTTGCAGGTACTTTAAGGCTGAAAAAATAAACCTTTGTTTTAAATTGTCAAACCTAGAATTGTGGTAATACCAATAACTTCGCTTAAATTTATCTCCAGTATTACAAATAATCATCTTTAATCTGTGGAGTAGGAAGCGAGGGTTCAGGATTATTCAGTCCTGACGACAACATATGGTATGACGAATTGGAGATCTCTCTTTTATTAACTGTAGGCATATACCTGGGAGATAATGCAGTTCAGTTCCCGACCACTGCGCAAAAGCTAATACTGCCCTAGGGCAAGTCACACACTTTTTGTTTTCAGTGCATATAAAAATATTGTTTACATTATACTGTAGTCTGTTAAGTGTTCAGCAGCATTATTTCTAAAATGACGACATACATATCTTAATTGAAATACACTTTATTGCTAAAAAATGCTAACCATCATCTGAGCCTCCATCGAGTTGTAATCATTTTGCTGGTGGGTGGGTCTTACCTTCAGTTTGTAAAAAACCACAGTATCTGAAGTGCAATAAAATGCGAGGTATGCCTGTATAACACACTCACTGAGAAGTACACCAAACAGTTGCAAAAACACGGCTTAATAAGTTTTCATAGAGTGAACACACTAGTATAACAACCCCACAGGCTTCCTTCTTTCCCCCTCCCGTTACTGCATCCCTTCGGTACAAGATAACCAAGAGTGGTTTTTTGGTGTGTTTTTCAAAATAGATGTATATTTTAATGCACACAGAGGTGGGTTTTTTTGTGGGTTTTTTTTTTTTAGTGATTAGATTTAACATTGTTTTGTGTACTATATTTAAATAGCATTGAAAATTCCTTCACAAAAGATTGTTTTTATATATTTTAGAAGATCAGGAAAAACTGTGTGTATTGACAACTGAATTGTTAGAATATTGCAATGCTCAGAGGAGTCAGTCGTCCTATAGACCCAGAGCTGGAGATGCGTGCTGTGCCAGATACACAAGTAAGATTCTTTTAGGTAAAATATTAAAGGGAAAATGCTTTTCTGTTCTCTTTTACATGAGATTATAAGGATCACATTATTTTAGATGGTTAGGTAGAGAAATTAAAGACAAGGTCACGGGTTTAGTTCATATATTGGGGTCCTTCAGCTTGTCTGTTCCATAACCACGATTCTGTTTAGGCAAGGGTATAGGTAGAAATGTAAAACTCTGTCAGTACTTCTAGATAACCAGCTCTAGATAACAATACTCTATATGGGGGTCAGTGATGTCATACTTACATATGGAGGGATAGCAAATAATTTATAGAACTCTGAATGTACTTAAAAAGAATAAAATGCCTCTGGGAGTCAGGCTCATTGAACCAGGCATGCTTTATTCTACTGTTGTTTAGTATTTCATGTTAACAGATTTCTTTTGCTAATATAAATATAACACTTGTAGTGAATAGTTTTGGGCAGAAATTGGGTAACTGGAAATACTTTAGGCTGAATTTCCAGGAATAGAATTCTGGAGTTCAGGGACACATTGTTTTGTAAGTTCTGGGAGCATATAGCTCTCTGGTCAGTCAAAGAAATGTCCAGCTCTGGCCAGTTTTGCTGAGTGGTTAGAGCATCAGCCTGCAGACTGAAGGGTCCCGGGTTTGATTCCGGCCAAGGGCACGTACCTCGGTTGCAGGCTCGGTCCCCAGCCTAGTCAGGGCGAGTGCGGGAGGCAGCCAGTCGCTGTGTCTCTCTCACATCGATGTTCCTCTCTCCCTCCCTGCCTTCCTTCCCCTCCCCCCCTTCCACTCACTCTGAAAAGCAATGGAAAAAATATCCTCAGGTGAGGATTAAAAAAAAAGAGAAATGTCTGTGCCAGAGTTTGTGAGTGCGCCAGTGTTATCCCTGCTTATGGTCTGTTGTCCAACTAACGCTCATTTTTAAATTTATATTTATGTTTTTTAAATGTATTATGCTTATCACCCCAATTCAATAAAAACAATTTTTTTTAAAAGGAAAAAAAAGAAAATGTATTACACTGAATTCTGTTTTTCTTTCATATGACAGCTGGCTCTACACTCTTTTCTTCCTAATAGCAGTAAGTGATGCTTTTGGTTGGGTCCAGTGCTCTGCGCTGCTTTAGCAGGACTGTGTAAACACTGGTCACTGCCTAGCCGTGTGGTGTACTGTAAGCAGCTTGCTCTGCTGCAGCCTTTTTGATGTTACAAGTGTTCTGTATACTTTCACTGATTATCTCCAGTTCTCTGCATTAGTGTAAATTCAGTGAACATTTAATGTACTTTCATCAACTTTTATTGTTTGGAGGCATCTTGAGCCTCCTGACCTGCTCCTTTCTAGATTGCCTGCCCTCTAGACCTGAGCCCTCACCCTGGAATTTTTTCCTTCACCATTGTGCTAGGGGTTGTTTCAGCACCACCCACCTTTGTTTCTTGGATTCCTCCCCCACCCCACCTTGTTGGCTAGATTTCCCCCTCACTCATCTCACCTTGTTTTCTGGATCCCTTACTTTTGATTTACTCTAATATCTGATTATATCCCATTATCCAGGAGCTGAAAAACGGTGCATGGAAGATGAATTTCCTGTTATCTCTCATGTTTGAAAGAGCCTTTATTCTACCCCGATAGTGGTGGATAGCTTGCCTGGATATAGAATTCTAGATTGGAAATAATTTTTCCCTTCAGATTTTAAAGGCATTGCTTTTACTGTCTTTCAGCTGTTGGTGTTGCTGCTCCAGATTCTTCAGATGTTGTGCATCTGTTTTTTTCTTTCTGGACCTTTTATTAATCTCTTCATCCTGTGTTTTGAATTTTATGATGTGACTTAGGATTGGTTTTCTTTTCACCATTGTTACTGGGCACTCAGTGGATGGGCCCGTGTCTCAAATTTCATGAGCTTCAGTTTTGAGATGTCTTCCTGAATTATCTTTTATTCCCTTCTTTTCTGTTCCAGGAACTCCTTGTTGGACATGAGCACTTCTGCCAAATTTCTTCCTTTCTGTTTCATCTTTTTTATTTTAATGTTTTACAAGAAATTTCCTCAGTTTTATCTTCCAACTTATTTCATTTTTGATACTACATTTTTAGTTTCAGCAGCTTTCTTGTTTATCTCAAGTGTGTGTTTGTTATGTTTTTTAAAAATATATATATTTATTGATTTCAGAGAGAGGAAGGGAGAGGGGGAGAGAGAGATAGAAACATCAATGATGAGAGAGTCATTGTTCAGCTGCCTCCTGCATGCCCCCAACTGGGGATCGAGCCCGCAACCCAGGCATGTGCCCTGACCGGGAACTGAACCCCAATTGCCTAGATCCTAGGCCGACGCTCAGCCGCTGAGCTACGCCCGGCCGGGCTCAAGTGTGTGTTTTTAATACTGTCTTCGTCTTGTCTCAAGGTTGGAAGGCCATTTCTTCAAGGGTGTTCATACCATTCTTTTAATTTCCATGGTCTTCTCCCTCCTTCCGTTGTCTCTGTTTTCTTGAGTTCCTATTTGTTAGCCTTGGACATATCTTTCATGTTCGGGACTTTCCTTGAGTACTTGGTGATCCTTTGCTGTTCACTTATTTAAGACGGGGCACTAAGAAGCAATTGGAAGTTTCTTTGTGCATGGCCAGCGCTTGTTCACTGGTGGCCTTCACTGTAGGGCCATTTCACTGGGGACTCCTGATGTTGGTATCTTAGGAGCTTTTGGTTGGGGTGGTTGTCACCTGCCAGGAGTGCGTAGCTTGTCAGAATGTGTCTTTGGTCACCTTCCTCCTCTCTTCTGCCCCAGGGTCCCCAGCATAGTTGGTCTGGCTCCCTCTCTGGAAGAGCAGCAGCAGTTGCCTGGGAAGGGGGAGGGCATTCTGACCTTCACTAAAACATGCAAACGCGAACAGGTCATTCTCTTTAGGAGCTTAAAAAATAACTGTAAGTGTGTTTATAAACTAAAGCTTATTCAGATGTCTTGGGAGGTAACTGCTTCCTTTGCCCCTTTTTCATTTTCAGCTCCTTCCTGACTCCTCCTCTCGAGCGGGTGGCACAGTTGTGGAGCTCTGGTTGCCAGGGGACCTGAGGTGTAAGCTGGGATGCTGCTCAGCTTCCCTCTGGTCAGCGTTGGCGGAGCTCTGCTCCCCATTTCCATTTATGCATCTGCTTTCTCTCTTCCAGTGTTTCATTGTCGTCTCTTACTCTCTATCCTTGTGATTTTAGGCCTTTTTCATGCTAATCCCATAATTGTCTTTTTAGTAGGGTGTGAAAAAAGTAGAGGTGATATTTATATTTAATATGGATATTTTGGCTTGAAANAGGAAAAATTAGAGGTGATATTTATATTTAATATGGATATTTTGGCTTGAAATCAGCTGNGTGAAAAAAGTAGAGGTGATATTTATATTTAATATGGATATTTTGGCTTGAAATCAGCTGTATTGGTGTGAATTTCTAAGTGATGTAAATGCAGCTGTGAATGACCATTTTAAGAGAGGGAGAGGGTGATCGAATGTAACTTCTTACCTGAGATTCCATCGTGTTTTCAGATGATGATTTCTGGTACCGTGCTATTGTCCTGGGGGCCTCAGAGGCCGAGGTGAAAGTGATCTATGCCGACTATGGAAACGTCGAAACTCTGCCTCTTTGCAGAGTGCGGCCAATCTCTGCCAGCCACCTGGAGCTTCCTTTCCAAATTATCAGATGTTCTTTCGAAGGTATACAAGTCACTTTCCAATTTGGGTATCTCTGGGTTGTTTTTCCCCCCATTTGTTTAATAACTATAAGTCTGAATCACATAGGTATTTCAAGTAACCACCCAGATTTCTAAATATCAAGCAGAGTTTACAAAGAAATCTCATATCTTTTATTTCATTCTCACAAATACTATATTCAGTTGGTCCATCTTTGTTTTACAGATTAGTTTCAGAGTGTCAAGGTTCAGAGATTGTTTTGCCCCGGGTTACAAAACTAGTAAGTGGCAGGGCCAGGATGAACTGGGGTCCTCTGGCCGCTCTTTTGGGGGGTCTTTCTGCTGTTTCACCACCCTGTCTTTAGAGCCTGTTTTGGGCTACCTTACTGTGCATACTGGTATCTGCATATATTCAGCGCTTATGTTGGAATTTGTATAAAGTGAACTGAAGTATTAGAGTTTTACTCTCACTCCTGATTTCTTTACCTGGAGGTCCCCACAGATAATAACACACTGATGGCCTCAGAGTCTGCTTTGGTTTTGACTCAGAGAGTTGGAAAATTATTAGTTTTCTTCTCACATTTGAATATATGTCCACAAAGGCAACCACGAGTCTGTTGGGGCCTCTAGACCTAACTTAGTGCATGACACGTAATAGGGATCAGTGAGTGTTTATTAAGTTTGATTTTTTAATGCAACAAACAGCAGTAGTACATCAAAGCATACTTAAACCTAGCTAAAATCGGTGAGCCTTTTTCTTACTATTCTTAGATAAGTTATCTAATTATTACCTTTTTTAAGGGACTTGAAGATTAACTCTTGGTATTTATTTTTTTCCCAGGACTAATGGAATTGAATGGAAGCTGTTCTCAATTAGTAATAGAGCTACTAAAAAATTTCATGTTGAATCAGAATGTAACGCTTTCTGTGAAAGGAGTTGCTAAGAATGTTCACATCGTGTCTGTCGAGAAAAGTTCTGAGAATGGTGCTGTCAGCCTAACTGATAAGCTGGTGATGTATGGCTTGGCAAAAAACATCACATCTAAAAAGCAAAATGCTCTCACCAAAGGTATTTCTCCAAGTTTCATAACAAATGTGGTTAAGAGCTGCTGTCAGTGTAGTTGACCTCATTTTCCCTTGTGCCCCATGGCCACATCCCTTCCTCTGAGTCCAGTGGCAAGGGAACTGCTTCTGGTGCCACCTCTGAGAGGCCTGCATGGATGCTCCCAGTCCAGCTTGTCCTTAGATCAGGCTCAGCAGCGTTGTCCATAGACTTGATGCCAAGAACTTCAGAAGTTATTTCCAATTTACTCTCCAAATTACTTCTAATTTACTTTTGATCCTGATGAAGGTGAAAAACACATTTTTGAGATTGGATCTAATGGTGCTTCGTGAGATGATTTGGCAGGCCTGCCCTCAACAAAAAGGAGAGAACCCATGTGTGACAGGCAGAAGGCCTCAGACCTTGGAGACATGGGCATTAATTTGGTAAAATCCAGGACACAGTAGCAGATAACATGGAAGCCCAATGAAAAGTTAATGGATCAAGTTCTTTGTGGTTGGAACCCGAGGATGAGGGGCGGATCTGTGTATGTTTAGACTCCAGGATTTTTGTTCTTTATATTGTATGTAAATGCTTTTTTGCATTTGTTTTTAGAAAAGACGACCGGGATGAATTGCTGCTGCTCAGAGTTGCAGAAACAAGTGGGTAAAGTTTTCTTTTAGTGAAATTATCCTTCTCACATTTTGAGAAATTAAATACTTCTTTTTTTTTTCATCCATAGGTTGAAAAACATGAACAGATTCTTCTCTTCCTCTTGAACAATCCAACCAATCAAAATAAATTTATTGAAATGAAAAGATTGTTAAAAAGCTAAGTAAGTGAAATTTGATATTTTGGCCCCTTCTGTAGCCAACAGTGGGACACCTCCAGGCATGCTCTCGGGAGCTGCTGGAGCGACACGTCTCTTTGTAAGGCTGCACCTTATTTTGTGATCTGATCTGAGGCCTGGTTATAATGTTTTTGCTCTCCCTAAGTTTTATTGGATAATCTTCCTTTGACATTGCTAATGGAATGAGCCCAGGGGTGTTCAGGTTGCAACACCCTTTCCTACTGTTGTTTGATTTTGAGAGTGCTCCTGTTGACTTGTGGAGGGACTTGTGAAAACTGCTGTGAGGTAAAGTGTAGCCTGAAATGCTTTGTGTCTAGATGTGAGATTAACTCACTTGAGCGCTTTGCTGTAACAATGTTTAGCACTTTTTATGAAGAGGTTCCAAGGATCCAAGAATGGAAAATGGGCCGCACTGATAGTGTATATTGCTTTTCAAAACAAAACATACTCTCTCTTTTGGCTGTGGTGATTCTAGTGGTTAAAAGATGGTATTGTTGGGTTTTAAACAATAGTTCCCCCGCTATTGTCCCCTGCTAGTCCGCTGTTACTATCTGGGATCCTTTATTCTAAGATGGTCCTCAGAAATTACTTTATGATCAATAAATAGCCAGCTAGAACTTCTGATCACAATGAAGTTATCTTTATCACTTTGAGTTGATACAATTCCAGCCAAAAGCAAAGGATCTTTGATTATTTTAATATGTGCACTCTTGTTGGCTAAAGTACATAAATCAGAACTTTTGCAAACAGCTTGTACTGGTCTCTGTGGGTCTCCATGGGTGTGGCAACCCTTATGTTAGGTAACTGCTGGGTTCAGACATTCTCTGTACTATTGTTTTGTTTCTGTTTCTCAGAAAGTATAGCTAAGTTCTAAGGTAAATGTCTTTAATGCAAGACCAACAGTTTTGATTCTCATGGTTTATTTCCTTTAAAGTTTTGGTTTCTTTTTAACATACGCTTACTTACAACTGCAATTATAATTTTCGGTGCTTTCTCATGCATTGAGTTTTAATACCAACTGCTGTTTTGTGTACTTATGTTTAAAATCGTTAATGATCATTTTAATTTCATAGATTAGGAAACTTGCAGTGACAATGACATGAACTTCTGGAACTGAGTCCTAGAGCTATCAAGTTGATCAACTTGTATGCACTTTTACTTTTTATCTGTGAAATAAGCTTTTTTTCTTAAAGATGTTGAGAGTGCTTACACACAGCTCCAGATGAAACCTGTATTTTCTATTGTTTCTGAATAGATTGAAGATATTACTTAAAAAAAAAATACACCACTTTATTTAAAGCATAGTAATTCAACTGGCTTTTCACCTACTGTGCAAATAAATATTTGTCTACACTTGAATGAGCTATAATACCTTATATTTGGGCAGTGCCTTATTTAAAAGGAACTTTTACATCTAGTCACATAGTTCACAGTGCCCTCGAAAAGGAATTATGACCCCGTTTTATAGGTGAGGAAGCTGAGGTTCATAGAGTTAAATGGCTGCCCCAAATCACATGCGGACTGGAAAGTAGGTCTTTTGACTCAAAGATGAGTTCTCTCTACTGCCCCCTGCTGCTTACCTGTTCGCTGTGCTACACTATTTTTTTAGATTAAATCTGAAATGCATGAAACTAGGGTTATATTATTAGAAAACATTACATATACATGGTTACTTAAGCATATTTCCTTCATTCTAGTGAAAATGTAGTTGAGTATTTAGTACCAAGAGTTATTCTTCCTAGAGATGGAGAAAATGTGGTTTAGATTTGTTTCTTCATCTCTGGAGAAAGTCGTTTTAATTTGTTAGTAATTGTGAAACTGCTACACTAGGAGGGATGTGGTGATGAGAACATAAAACTCACCTTTTGCTCAAAAGTGATAAATAAGCACTTAAGCATGCAAGTTAACGTAAAATATTTTTATATTTGAAGGACGGTGCAACCAGCTATATTTCATGTTTGTGAAGGAGAGTATGAACAGCTATAATTAACATGGGCACTGTTTGGGTGGTGGTGAATTTTTTTAACTCATACAATTTCAGTTAGAAGTGAATATTTGGTTTGCTTGTGCGTTAAATCGACATTCAGAACCATGGTGGCCAAGTTTCTATATACGGCATAATGACGCTGGACTTTTCTCTTTCAGAAACAGCCTGTTGGCGACAAGCACTAGGAGAGGAAACGGCAAAGACTGGACTTAGGCGGGGAAGGATGGCGCCGGTGGCGGTGAACCGGCGCCTCTCCTCTTGGGCTGCGTTTTCTCCCATGGCTGCCTACACCCCCACTTCCGTTTGCCCCCTGCTCTATTAGGTTGGGTAGTTTTCTTTTCCCCCTAAGCTCTTCCTTCCAAATAAATAAGCCTGGCATAAAAGAGCCATACCAAATTCATGGAAATCTCAGGAGGGGATGCGTGGGGACTCCCTACTGTGTATATCACTTTTTATTGCATAAAGGTACTGAAGGAAATATGGCTCCCTGTTAATATTGGATCAGTCTAGTTGATGGATACACGAGCTTTATTATTGTTTGGACTTTTATGTGTGTTTAAATATTTTATAATAAAATATTCCCTGCTCTCCCTGTCATCATCTGCCTCTTGCACGTAATAAACGTTCTCTGGTTTGCTGTTGCTCCAGTCTCCGCTCCTCTTTTCCTGTGCACGCCGAGGTCGTCTCCGCTCTTTTCTCTCTATCGTGATGTGGCTCACTTTTCCTTTGGCCTTCGGGCACAGTCTGTCCTTGGACTCTGGACCACTCCAGCTGGGGAAGGAAAGTTCTCTTTCTGCCCTTTCTATCCATATCCTTCCCGATACGTAGCCACAAGATTTTTATTATAGATAGAATTTGCCATTCTATTTGCCATTTTCTGAAGCACAAATACAGTTAACAATTTAAGCTAAATTAGAGTATATATTTTTCTTGAAGCACATACTATTAAATTCTCCTAAACTCATGTGCAGAATTATGGGCCAGCTGACTTTCCTGCCAGCCTCTACGTTTTTGACTGGGATTTTTTTCTATGATTTTAAGTACCAGCCTGTGACAACCTAAGGTGTTTTCACCAACTCAAGAGAAACAAGACTTTTTTGTTGTTTTTACTAATAGTGCCAGCCAATCTGTTAGATTCAGTGGAATTTTTTCTCATGTAAAGAGTTGTTTAAACATTGATGTGCTTCCATTATAGAAAAATTTATTCTGCTTTGCCCAATAAAATCTTTTCATTTTGCAGCCAGAATCCTCGTGTTCTTTTTGCCAGCATTTTGCTAACTTTCTTTTTGTATTTGCACATAGGAGCCCTAGATGCTTAGTTAGTTCATACTCTCCTCAGTCCCAGCCACAAGGAAAGTACAAGTGAAAACCACAGAATCACAGAATTTGCCCTTTTATTCTGGAAAATTAAGGAAGCAAGTCAAAGAACACATGAAAAACCTAAGTCAAAGTTCATCAGGTTCCAAGATATGCTATGGCACTGGAAACTGCAATTCACTTTTAATTAAATGGAGTTTATTATTTGGTGGTTCAGCTATGTGCCTGTTCCCCAAAAGAAACTAATCTATAGCACCAGTCTCACAAGTAGAGATAAGGGTTAAATGTCTCCTAGATGAATTGCACATACACACCAGACCACCAGGTTTTATCCATGAGCAGGTTTAAGATTTTCCTATTGTAATTAACTCCAGCTGTGTGCCCAACATTGTGGTGGGTGCTGTATTGTTCAGTAGGACCATGTGTGGCCTGTCACCCCTGCCAGTCCCTCATAATTCTAGTTCAGCCATAGATAAGTAGACTAGAGCTAAGACCATATAGCCAGACAAATAGATTATTCCTTGGTAGAGGCCACATAAGTATTGAGACACATGAGATTCATTTTGCCAGGGGACAGATTCCTATCATGGATCAAACAGTGAACAGGAGTTCGCTGTGCCTTTTCTTTTGGTAGAATTCTTTCACTGGGGCAGCTAGAAATGTAAAAGACTCAAAATTATGGGTGAGGGTGATTAATATTCTGAAACCAAGCTCTCTTGCTGCATAATATATACTCCAGAAAACCAGTAAACGTGAAGATCCTTTCTAGAAGGGCCCTAAGCTGCCAAATCCCAGGAAAGGAATTAAGTCATTGAGGCTAGCTCCTGGGAGGCTGCCAGCCCAGAGCAGAGAAGCGCTTGTGTTACTCGTGGGCTCATCACCAACACAACTGCCTGGATTTGGCAAATTGAGCTCTTCTAGGATTAACCTAAGAAGGATACCTGGGCTACTCACCAGTGGTTCTGCAGCCAGACTGGCACTCAAGCAGTGCTTAACCATGAAACAGGATTCTCAAAGGTGGTCTTTGTTTTTCCAGCACAAGCCACTCACCACATGTGGCTACTGAACACTTAAAATGTGCCAAATCCAAATTGAGATGTGCTATAAATGTAAATTACAACAGAATTTCAAAGACTATAAAATATCTCTATTGTTTACATGTTGAGATACTAGGGATCTACTGGGTTAGTAAAATTAAACTTGTGTTTCTTTTCAGATATGGCTACTACAAGGTTTAAAATCACCTATGTGGCTTGTATTACATTTTGATGGGACATGCCCATCTAAAGGCAGAGAAACACACCCCCTCCCCCCCCAAGCAGTGGGGGGGAGGGGGCAGGTTCCCCTGCACAGGTTCTCATGCATTACTTAGCTCTGGCCATGTTGGGAGGGCTGCAAACCAACTGAGAACCACAGACAGAAATGAAACATTTTTGGAATTTTTTTTAAAAAGGAAAGGTGGTAAAAAACAAGAAGACTTGGTCTATCAGATGGTCTATCTATTACAAAAATAATGGGAAGGGCCTGGGAAAAAGGAAACAGGTCAGTCTTCCTGGAGGGCAATTTAATAATACACATCAAAGGCCTTAAATTATGTATACCCAATAGCCTGCAAATTTGCCTTCTTGCAGTTTGAGTAATTGAGTAAAAGCACAAATATCTAATTGCATGATTAAAATTA